GGACGCTTCTCGTGTGAACATGATAGCCAATACGAGACATTAGTGACTATCGAGTTAGTGGCGTGTGAGTCTAGACACACCGACGAGCGTGTTCAAGCAGATATCTGGAAGTGAGACAATTCAAGGCACCCCCAATCTCTCCAACACGTCTGCATTTCGCCAAGCCAACATCCGCAATTAATACAACTGAAACACCACCTCATTCGTGTGGCCAGACAAACGCAGCGCCGATGAATTGTTGGCAGTGAATGAGCAACCAATTCGATTGGTGCATTCTCATTGGAATGCAGGGTTTGTGTGGAGTTGACGAGAGATCTGGGGTCGCCATTGAGGGGACAGCCAACCAGTGGAACTGGTGCTGCACCTGGTGTGCACGCGCACACTTGTGTCGAAGGTGCGAGTCCGAGGTGGAGTGGCATAAACAGGGTTGGTGGGTTGATGCAGGTCGCTTAAATATCACCGGATCACTGGTAAACACAGATGACACGTGGTTAATTTCCTCACGACGGAAGAGGCACGAGGCATTTTCTCCCACAACCAGTTCAATCGTGTTTTGCTCGGGCCCATTCCAGACAGCGCGCGCAAGTCACACACTCACCCACTAACTTGAACACACTCGGTTGCGACTATTGGCTCTAGATTGAAACGCCAATTGCCTATTTTGAGAGAAGGCCTATGATTCTTCCCGTATTTGGACCCACGCACCAACGTCCAACGCTCCGCTCTAACGTGCTGCACCCCCGATCCATTCCCCCGATTTGAGCACATTTCCCCCATCTCGATTGTCTGCTCTCTACGCTACTGTAGTCAGCTGGTTTGTTCAGCTGGTTTGCGCTGAATGATGGCTGACTAGTTGCCATGTAGCACACCTCCACGAGTGTTCTGTGATCCCTTCAGGCTACTTTCGCACCTACTTATTACAATCAAAAGGTACTCGCTCACATCTGCTCACTACAATGCATCAAATTCATTGACACATCACTTTCGAAGTCAGTGAGTGAGTGTGGGGACCTCCTGAAGACGCATTGCTAACCAGACATCCTGTGATTCCATGGCAACATGGATGGAATCATCTGCACGTTAATGGTCGCATTCGAATGGCCGTAGACAGGCTTTATTGCAGACCTGGAGCCTTCACAACATCTGCACCAATTACCCACCACAGACAAACCACATTCGCTTGTTCCTGTGTTTTCGTGGACCTACCAAATTAACAAACCGACTCTCGTACCCACATCCCTGCACATTGAGACAGTCTGACTGGAATCAGTGATCGTCTCCTCGCACAATGTCAGCCGTGGATGCCGGCCTGTAGTTGGCAGTGGCACAGCACACGTGCATGTCTCTATTGGCCAGGTCGATGATCTGCTCGAATTCTGTCCAACTGTCAACTCCTCTTTCTTGCACTCGTTAGATTATTTTACCTACCGAATAACTCGTGTCAGCTTCGATTTGTGGCCAAATCATCCGCTGCAATTTTGAACTTCAACACGACTTTGGTCGTGGAGTTGACGCTCGATCAAATGTGAAACCTGTCCATCGAAATGTGCCGGAAATGTGCTCGAATTTAACAATACACCACGCATTAACCGTATTGGGCAACGAGGGAACATGGAACATTTGTTGAATAACATGCGTGAAAAGTTAACAGAGGTGATTCACTGATGTGGCAGTTGATTGTCTTGAAAATGGCCAAAAGGCGGTTAATTTGAATCAAACACATCGAACTATGCTCCAGTTAATGTGGCCGATCAGTTGAAATGTCCAACATACGCGCAGGAGAATGAAATTTCCACGAAAACAGTCATGTACTGTGTCAAGATGGTGTGGAGGATTACCACACCGCTTTGACGCCGAACACGGCATGTAAAATGTTGGATATAGAATTGGCCCAGCATCCAATTGAACCTAACAAATGGTTTCGCTAGTTAACAGCACCACGCAGAAGGTTTGATTGTTGGTCTTCATATTGAGAGATATCAGCTCCAATATCACACTTTTACACTTTCAATGACAACCTGAATGAATTAAGATGGTTTGCTTTTCGTCAATTTCTAATCATCAAGTTAATTCCCGTTTTGATTGTCGATAAATTTTCATTTCACTTTTAGAGGAATTAATTATTTGGCATTTTCTCCAGACTGTCTTTTGCGAATTCCACCATTTTTTGCAAACAAAGACACCCTTCAATATCAGGAGGAATTTTTTACCTCCCAAGGCAGCCCTTCCCTGCACTTCATCTCAATTCTGCTCTTTTTTTTAATCGAAAAAGAGCACAATCGTTTGGATCCGACTTCAGACCCTTCTCTGAATGGGAGCAACCGAATACCTGATCAGTAATGACTTTCCGAATTAACGTCAATACCCCCATCAAAGTGATGTAAATTCCCTGAAACTGCGACCTGCCGCTCTGATTTGAGTTGCCACAGTTTTCAAATTGACTTTCGCCCTTTCGCTTGTACTTTAGACTGAGGATACACTGACTTCCTCGCTTCTCTCTGACCCATCTTTGATCTACAAAATGGTATTTTTCGAAAAAAATTATTTTAATGCTCAAACTAACGACCTCTGACATCTTTTGTAAAAGGTGTTACGAAATGTCATAATTTTGTGTGAAATCAGCAATAACAGCTCCGAGAATACTGCAGTGATTTGCCTCTTAGAGATACCAACTGTAAAGATTTGCAAAGTAGAGTCAATTAGATCCAAATCGTGGCCTTGCTTAAATTGTTTAATCATGGTACTTTGTGGGGGTTGGCGCTAGAGCCGATCGGTGATATAGGGACACGATGACATGGATGTGGCCAATTAATCATCCACTCAGTTGTGTCAAATTAAGTGGATGAGTGCGTCAAAGTAAACATTGCGGGTCAAGGAAGTTATAAACAAAGGCGCGGCTTGAGGGGGCTGAATAAACATATGGTTAAGCATATGCATAAACACTGAATGAGGCCATTTGTCAACTGCGGCGATAAGTGTGTAAATCTAGCGTCTCCCTCTCCTGATGAAATGTGCGCTGACGTGTTGGTGACGTGATGGCTGAGCGCGCAATTCATGAAACTCCTGCTTGAGGTGAGGCCCTGGAACTGTGATGGTGATGTTGTCTGTGAACTGGGCACGTGGAAATAGTTTTAGAGGTTTGTCGTTGGTTGTGACAGCGGCGTTCGATTAACTGAAAAGTAAATTCATTAGATTCGCTGCTTTCCAAGGACTTGAATGCCTCTAGAGTCATAAATTTCGATGACACAGGACCACCAAATGTAACCACTGATGGCAGGTAGAAAGATTCTGGAATTGAGAGTGGTCGGTTGGCAGTGGAGAATCAAATTTTGGTACATGACACGAATCTAAATTGTCGTTCCTGAAGCCTTAAAATCTGCCTTGAACTCTTTGAGCTGGATTCCCAGGGTGTTACGGATGAGAAAACTACTCATTTTTCGGTGACATAGTCAATTATGGAGGATTTCGAGGCATTGTAAAATGTTGATTAGCTGAAACCGCATTTTCAACTTGCTAAGGCCAACTGGTAGGATTTAGATTCGTTGGCTGTCTGGATATTGAATGAATTACAACTTCTTTCCCGCTGAACTCAACTAAAGGAACAACGTCGAGACAATTTAAAACATGGAGATCATTGAAGACTTACTCGATTTTCCCGCTTACCAGTCAGTCCGCTTTCCTTGCGCAGCTGAGTAACGAATTTGATTCGTGGGAGTTTGCGTTGTAATCAAAAGCAGCGTCACCTGTTCTGCGAATTTCTGTCGAATAAAATGAAAAGTACCCACAGCCCTGCGCAATATGCAAATGAGAAGCGAAGCACTGCCATTACTTCACATCATTCCTATTTCATGAATCACTAATTAATTAACCAAAGCACTGGCTTCGATTAGCAGTACACGAAACCCGAAATTCTTGTCAAAGATGACTACGTCCACTGAATAACCTGTCAGTGAGGACAACCTTGACTCGACAGCCCGCTTAGTCATTGAGGTCTCGTCAACTTGACCGCCAGAAAAGATTTTGAGGTATCCTAAAAGTGCCGTGGTGAGTTCATGTGTACAAGCGTCGCTCGCTTTAACTACTGCAGTGATGATAAAACTGCATTTAACATATTGTTTCAATGAATTCAAGAGTTTTTAGATTCTATAATTTGAATTCAGGATCTTTAAAACTGAGTTGTACCATTCGCCCCTTGCACGTTTTCAGATGGATACTTTAATTGTGTATAATTTCTTCTGTATTTGTCTCTTTTTTATTACCTTACTGGTCCGGTGTACTCACAAGTGTCACAACACATTTCACTAGATGAGCTGGCTTTGTACCAGACCGACAACCTTGTTAGTAGTACTTATTCACTGAATCCTCGGTGTTCAGAAGTACAAAACTCCTGGTTGTCTAGTTTCCGACTCCGGAAACTTCTAGCAAAAACTTTAAATTGAGCTACCAAGAGTTGGTACTTGGTTTGACCAGACTCTTTGCGTCTCTCCGCGGGGATAGATGTGATAGCAGTTTTGCCATTTTTACGAGTATGCACCGACATAGCCATTGAGATAATTTTTATGCGAGGCGCTAGTGGTCCGACAATCGGGTGGGGTCTGACCACATAAGCTAACGAACCAATGAGACTTGAGCAGTTCATGGATGGCGATAAATTTAAACAAATTCAGAAAAATGGCCGAGCAGACACATGCATACGGCTACAGTGGTGAAGTTAAAGAGGTGATGATTATTTCTGTGAGCACATGAACAAGTCCCTCGTGGATCACCACCAAAAGAACTGTGTGTTGCTCAACTGAAAATCCACTCCTACATCACATGGGCCAACCATTTGCTTGTTTTGTGCTCAGTCCCAATGAATGCCTAAACTGCTACAACCACGTCACCACCCATTGTCTTTCACCTAGTGTTGTACAAATGAGCACGGTGTTGCCATGGTAACGGCTGGTAGGAAAGAGAGTGAAGGGTAATATAAAGGCAGAGGAATGCGGAGCGTCAAGAAGATGGCACAGAGGAAGTTGGCGCGGCTTCCTTCCTACGTAGACAGGGTGCCTTTGCCACGAAAATGCAAGCCGGATACCTGGCTGGTTGTCGGTGTGGAATTCCTGTTGGTTTTCATGGCAGCTTGCATTGGACTGTTTGTCTACTATCGATCACACGATCTACCCTTTTATGCTGCCAAATTCTACGCTCATTTGGGTTCATCCGTAAGTGGTGTTCTGTCGATGCGTTTGAAGCTGGAATAAGTACAAATACGTAGGGCTGTTTACTGCTGAATAACATACACACAGCTTAAATTTACCTACTTTAAACATGCATGTTTGTGAACTTTCAAATTAGTTCGAGTGTACTAGTATACAATGGGGCGCAGAAATTTATTACTTTGCCCAACAGATGTTGTTCTGGCTGAAGTTGAAACTGATTACAAGTGCTGGCCAAAGTTGAACTGGGAGCCAAAATCAGTCACATTAGAAGTCTCTAGAGTAAAACCTTGAATGGGTTAAAAAAATTTTATTTCGCCAAAAACTTGGCCCTGGAGATTATTGGCACGATCAATTCAGTAACCCTGATACGGCGATGCACTTGCCAACGCCAAGAAAACCACATGTTCCACGCTAAAAGAATTTACCGAGTCATGTGCGATGGGAATCAGCACTCTGAAGTCTTACGTCCCAATTAAACAGCTTTCCGTCGAAGATATTCATTGATAAATCATCGAAGTGTGCCATCCTTTTAAAATAATCGAATGAGAATGCGTTGTGGCAGAATCCGACTAATCCACACAAGGGAAATGCATTATAGATTATGTATTAAATTCTAGACTCACTGCTGATGTTTGAGATGGTGTGAAAAAAAATTCGGTGAAATGTGCCGGTAAAATTTCGTCAAATTTTTAAAGACAGGCCGTGAATGAGACCAGAAATTCCCTATGTGATCGTTGAACTTAATTTTATGAAAATCGCCTCGTTGACATTGAAAAGCTTTCCACAGTACCAAAATCAAATTGAAAAAAAAGCAAGATTCACTCTGTTCTTCTGTTGGGCATTTCGTTTTTTGAGTAGATATAACTCAACTCGAGTGCTACCTTACCTCGAAGGTACCCTTATTTTGCAAGATGCCAAAAGGTGTTATGTTCTTGGATCAATACTTCTCCAATGAGACAAATTAAAATTCAGAATAGTTTTCTTTTTAAGGATGATACTGAAAGGAAAGACGCTAGATGTTAGAGCTTGTGGGTTTGTTTCAAGACCAATTGAATGCGTGTATTGTTGGTTCAGACGGCCCAGCACGCGTTGAGCTTGTATTACCTCAGTCGGTTTGACGAGCACCCAGACAACGCCGTCCTCGCTGAACACTGGCTCAAACGAGCAGCCGAGGGAGGCCACGGCGTCGCCGCCTACAACCTCGCCGTCGCCCACCTTCGTGGCGATCTGCCCTCCAAGACGACGCTGGACCCCAGCCAAGTTCACAGCCTCCTCTCTCTGGCCGTCCGCAGTGGGGTTCACGAGGCATTGGGGCCGCTGTATCTGTGCGGTCACGGACAATGCTCCAGGAACCAGTCGTCGGGCTGAGCACCCGCGTATCCAGGCCTCTTATCGCTGCGTAATCGCGCGGTTTAATGTCCTTTTCCATGCACACACACACACACACTGCTTCGCTGACAAATAAAAAGATGGCATCTTCGAGAATTGCCTTCAGTGGAATGGCAGTGTTTGAGAGGGCGTTTCAGTGACGTGGTGAATTTAGCTTTAAGAACTCGATTAAGCACCTCAGGCACCAAATACGCTGCTCCTGTTTTTGTTCTTTAATCTGCTTTAATTTGCTTAGGATTGAAAATAGCAAAGGAATTTCACATTAGACTGTTCTCCACACCCCACCTAACAGAATCTGTCTTGGATATTTGTTCACACATTTACAGAAACTTTAATTAATCCCAAGTGGTCCTTCATTAGACCGATTTTAGCCCAGAAAATCTCCTTAATCTGACTGCTGGCGATCGTGATTACTGCTAACACGACTACTGAAGTAGGTTTTAACCAAATCTACATACGTTTCGTTCAGACCACCGTGTTTGTAACCGTCGAGCGCATACGAACAACAAGGCGCCATCGACAACATTGCTGCTTTGCGTCATGCTGCAATCAAAACAACGATCTCTGTGCCGAAAAACAACACGTTTTATTCGATTTACCTGCATAACAACTTGTTACTGACGGTCGAAGAATCTTCCACCACGGTTTGGGGTCGGTAATTTTCATGCCTTCAAGTTAACGCTCATGTAAGCTCGAGGTACATGTCGGGCAATATTCTGTGATTTGTGCCCCATTTCGTCGTGTTATGCATCATTTAGAACTGTTCACTGAGGGCACTTCGCCAACGTTTGCGTTTTGTGTACGTTCTTTGGCCTCTTCACAAACACCCTAGAAAGGCAAACACTGACGATGCAAAGAACTTGTTCCTACAAGTGCAACAAACTTAAACTTTTAGCAAGTTTTGACACACAAGGCAGCCTGCATTCCTAATCACCGCTGCACATTGCACGAGGACATACTTAGCAAATAGTTTAGCTACCTGTTGGCGAGTTACAGTGAGCGCAAATGAGTGTTAAGAGGACAATTACTTGCCTCCGGTTGCCTTGGTTACTAAGCTGCAATTGTTGGGAAAAAAACGAAACAAGTGCATTTAAACAACTGTGGTGAAAATTCACCGATTCAAAATACTCGCATTCACAGTCAATTTGAATTTTTTAAACGGGGGGTGATTGTCCGAGCCCGATGCTTAAATTAGCCTCACCGGCTGCGCTCTAACGGGAGGTTGTTTACATGAGACATTGTTTTTCATTTGTTGTTTGACCCAGTTATTGGAAAATAACTGATCTAGTCGTCTAGACGCCTGGGTAGACAGAGGGCATGAGTGTTTTCTAAACAAAATGGTTTGTATGAGGCGTTTCTTCAAACTTCTACGCCATTAAATTGACAGGGTGTAGGAACACCAATCAAATGCTGTGGATTAGCCTCATCTTAACTTCACGTCAACTTTGATCACGGCTTCGAGCATTAGTGTGGATTAATGAATGCACCATGCGTTAAGATAAATGGCCTTTTTGAAACAGAAAAGCGGTAAATCACCTGCGTTATCTGACTCACGCTTGGAAATGGTTAGAGAGGAGTTAATAAATGCTCGATGACCGCTTGGCCGAATTCTATGGTTCGCTGGACTTCAAATGACCGACATACGCACATACACACCGGAAATGCTGAAAATGTAGTCGTCACAGCCAAGGCCAATTCTAATCAGACATGAAAGAAAATCATCTTTCCTCGAAAACTGGACTTATTGAAAAAAAATGATTGGCATTCCCAGGCGAAGAAAATCACAAAATTGAGTTCCTAGTTAATGCTCTTGCGAATATCCAGGTAGAAATGAGATTCAAGGGGGTTCCTTAGCGCGGGGGGGGTTAAATTTGAGCTTACAAGTTGACGAAAAGCATTGTGAGGACCAAAAAGGGGCTGCCTTTGTGTTGAAGCTCACCAGATTGATGAAGTAGAGTGTTCTGTGAGTCTTTTAGGAGGTCGAGGCAAATTTCTCGCTGCTGTTGCAGACTGGCTCTGATTGCAACACGAATGTTCGCGTCTTGATTGCAGGATGTTAGCTCTTAACAAACGTAAACCTTACTGTCTGGGACACCAAAGTAGTAGTGAGTGCATATTCGGAATTGGCAAAATCAGTCTAGAGATATGCTGAATAAGTAATGCATTCTCAGGTATTAAAAGGCATACGCGTTTTCCTACTGAATTGGAAATACGGAGACAGTCAAAAGAGGTGGTCACTGAGGGTGTAAAAGTGTGATGCTGAAACCGATATCTCTCAATATGAAGACCAACAATCAAACCTTTTGCGTGGTGCTGTTAACTAGCGAAACGATTTGTTAGGTTCAATTAGATGCGGGGATAATTCTATATCCATCATTCCACTTGCCGTGTTGGGCGTCAAAACGATGTGATAATCATCCCCACCACCTTGATACAGTACATGACTGTTTTCGTGAGAATTTAATTTCCGTGCGCGTATGTTGGACATTTCAACTGATCGGCCACATTAACTGGAGCATAGTTCGATGTGTTTGATTCAAATTAACCGCC